CTGGCTACAAACTCAGACCAATAAAGCTATTTTTCCCCTTTGTGTGTGTATGTGTGTGTGTGTGTGTGTGTGTGTGTGTGTGTGTGTGTGTGGCAAGGGGGAGGAGGGTGAGGCAGTACTTAAGGTCATCTGCTGTGACATGGAGAGGAATAAAGCCATCTCCTGGCCACAGGCTAGAAGGAATTAGAATGAGGAAGTGCTGGAATGGGGGAGAGAGGAACAACAACCCAATAACAAAAACCTATGATTCCTCTAGGGGACGCCAGTGGCTCACGCCTGTCATCCTAGCTAATCAGGAGCCTGAGATCTGAGTTTGAAGCCAGCCTGAGCAGAAAAGTCTCCAAGAGACTCTCATCTCTAATTAACCACTCAAAAACCGGAAGTTGAGCTGCAGCTCAAAGTGATAGAGTGCTAGCCTTGAGCAAGAGATTTCAAGGACAGCATCTAGTTCAAGCCCCATAACAACTACAACAAAAATCACAAAACAGGGCTGTGCTGGGAATGTGGCTTAGAGGTAGAGTGCTTGCCTAGCAGGCATGAAGCCCTGGGCTCCATTCCTCAGTATCACATACACAGAAAACACAGGAAGTGGTGGCACAGTGGTTCAAGTGGTAGAGTGCTAGCCTTGAGCAAAAGAAGCTCAGGGACAGTGCCCAGGCCCTGAGTTCAAGCCTCAGGACTGGCAAAAATAAAAAAATAAATAAATAAAATAAATCACAAAAGCCCCGATTCCTCCTGCGTGCTGCTTGCGCCCTCTAGTGACAAAGCCTCACAACAGTGGTGATAAAGCTGTCAACCAGCCACGGGGAGCAAGGGGTGAGTGGTCTTTTTGATCCCTGGTGGCAGCCCACCCTTCCCTAGTGTGGGGTCTGAACCTGAGCTGGATATTACCAGCTCTCCACTGGCAAGTGCCACAATGACTTTATCCCGGCTTCCAGAGTAGGTCTGTGCCATGATGTGATTGACAACAGCACAGCCAAATCCCCTTTGGCCAGAACACTCCAGAAGCCACACCTCTGCTGGCAGCTCAGAAAAGAACACTCTTTTTTTTTTTTTTTTGTCGGTCATGGGGCTTGAACTCTGGGCCTGGGCGCTGTCCCTCAGCTCTTCAGTTCAAGGCGAGCACTCTACCACTTGAGCTACAGTGCCACTTCCGGTTTTCTGGTGGTTTATTGGAGATAGGAGTCTCACGGTCTCTCCTGCCCGGGCTGGCTTTGAACTGCGATCCTCAGATCTCAGCCTCCTGAGTAGCTAGGATTACAGGCGTGAGCCACCAGCGCCCGGCTAGAAAAGAACACTCTTGTGGAGCTGAATCTCAAGTCCTTAGGACTTCCCTTCCCAGTGCTGGGATTACAGGTGTGCATCGCCATACTCTGCTTCTGCTTTTGAATTACCCCGTATCGGGTCTTTGCACAAGCTCTGGAGTGTATTCTGCAGAATAATAGATTCCCAGGGAGGAGGGTGAAAAATAGGGTATAGGTTTTACATTTAAATAACTTCCTTTCCCTTATAGGTGAAGTATAAGGGAAAAATGAGCTATCAGAAGTCTGAGCCCTGATTGATTGCTGTAGAATGGTTTTTGTTTGTTTGTTTTTAATGCAAGTCCTGGGGCTTGAACTCAGGGTCTGGGTGCTGTCCCTGAATTTTTTTTTTTTTTTTTTCATTCAAGGCTATTGCTCTACCACTTGAGCCACAGCTCCACTTCTGGCATTTTAATGGTTCATTGGACAGTATCCAGAGCTGTCCTGCCTGAGCTAGCTTGGTCCCTTGATCCTCAGATCTCAGCCTCCTGAGTAGGTAGAATGACAGATGTAAGCCACTGGTGCCCGGCTTTGTTCTTTTCATTTGGTGACATCAGAGGGTTAGAGAGAGAAGACGCCTGGCCCAGTAGGGCAGGAAAGAGACAGATAAGCCTGGACTGATGGGCAAGCGATTTAGCTACAGGGGCCAGTCAGTGTCAGGTAAGAAGGGTATAGATGGTTGGAGGTGGGGCTGCCTTTCTTTGTGTGGTCCCAGCCCTGGCCCATCACCTCCTCTCTCCCTTCTCACCCACAGACCTCTGAGTGAGGAGCCAGAGCAGACAAACCTGTCCTGCAAGCTGAGGCCTCCCTGCTCCAGCCACACTGCTGCTGGTCTGGTTGAGGCAGACTGTGCAGGTATGTGGCCAGACCGAGCCAGAGAGGGCGGTGAAGGGGGCTGGGACAGAGAGGGACTGCCCGGAGGCCAGCTCCACACCACAGCCTCACAGTAGGTCAAGGCCAACTGCTTAGAGAAATAATTCTTCCCTCCAACAATGATTGTGGTTGTGTTGTTAGTTGTGGGGCTTGAACTCGGGGCCTGTGTGCTGTTTCCTGAGTGCTTTTGCTCAAGGCTTTTGCTCTACCACTTGAGCCACAGTGCTACTTCTGGTTTTCTGGTGTTTTATTGATGATTAAAGTCTCACGGACTTTCCTGCCCCAGCTGGCTTTGAACTGTGATCCTCAGATCTCAGCCTTCTGAGTACCTAGGATTACAGGCGTGAGCCATTGGCACCCAGCGTTTATTAACATTTGATTCGCTGTTTTTGTTGGAAGAAAAAAGCAATGAGCTTCATTTCAAAATTTGAGCTGAGTGCTGGTGGCTCACACCTGTAATCCTAGCTACTCAGGAGGCTGAGATGAGGATTTTGATCTAAAACCAGATCAGGCAGATATATCTAAGGGACTCTTATCTCCAATTTATCAGCAAAAAAGCCAACGTGGAGGTGTGGCTCAAATGGTAGAGCACCAGCCTTGAGTAAAGAAAAGCTAAGGGATAAAAAACACCTGGACACACACACACACACACACACAAAGTTGGAAAATACTAAAAATCCTCTAGGAATGCAATATAAACACTTGGTGTCTTCTGCTTAATGGCCAATGTTAGCATTTGGAAGAACCATTTTTCTGTTTGTGTGTGTGTGTGTGTGTGTGTGTGCTGGTCCTTGGGTTTGAACTAAGGGTCTGGATGCTGTCCCTGAGATTTTGTGTTCAAAGCTGGTGCTCTACCACTTGGTTCACAGCTCCAATTCTAGCTATTTAGTGGCTCATTGGAGATAAGTGTAAGATCCACTCCTGGATGGCTAGCAACCTCCCCCCTCCTCGCAGCAAAGTCTCCACCCAGTACCTGCGTTACCTAGGCAACTGGGATACCTGGAAGAGGCCACATCTGCATCTGCTGAGGTCACATCTGAATTTGATGTGGCCACACCTTTCTCCGCCCATACCCTAGATAAGGCCTAGCCCAGGCCCAGATGCCCTCGCTCTGCTCTTTTCTAGCTCTTTCTCAGCTCTTTCTTTCTCTTCTCTTTCCCAGCTCTCTTCTCTTTCCTAGCTTGCTCTTTCCCACCTCTTTCCCAGATGCTCTCTTTTCTAGCTCTTTTCTCTCTCTTTCCCAGCTCTCTCTCTCTTTCCCAGCTCTCCCAGCTCTCTTTCCCAGGCCTTTACCCACTGCGTGGAGGACAAAGATGGCCTGGTGCCAGCCAGAACGATGAATAAACCTACCCCTTACCTAAATACCACATGCGTGCTGCTGTTCTTACTCGGCTACCTCTTTTTAAAAACCTAACAATAAGAACCTCATGGACTTTCCTGTTGGACTGGCTTTGAACTACGATCCTCAGATTTCAGCCTCCTGAGTAGCTCGGATGGCAGGCATGAGCCACCAGTGCTCAGCTGTTTTTGTTTTCATACTTAAGACTGCTTAACTATGCTAGCTGAAATTCTTCAGTTGCTCCTCCCCCCCCCCCCCCCCCCCCCCCCCCCACGCCTGGGACTTGAATTTGGGGCCTGGGCACTGTCCCTGAGCTTCTTTTACTCAAGGCTAGCACTCTGCCACTTGAGCCACAGCACCACTTCGGGCTTTTTCTGTAATGTGGTACTGAGAAATTGAAACCAGGGCTTCATGCATGCAGGGCAAGCACTCTACCACTAGGTCACGTTCCCAGCCTTGAAATTCTTCAATTTCTTGCCGTCATAGAACTTGCTGGAAGCAGAGGTATCTGTCACTTGTATCATCTCACCAGCCCCTTTGATAAACAAGTTTCCTCCCCAACACCATACTAGATGGCCCCCAAGCAAGCTTCTAGTTGCCTTCTTCAACCAAAGAAGAGACTTGAATCCCTAAACTCAGACAATGACCTTCACTCGACCTTGACCCAAGTTAGGAAAGCTCCTGTGTTGCTTAAATAGAAAGATGGAAGTCTAGTGATGCTGGAGAAATCCTGAGAATGGGGCAGCTTTCCTGACAGCCTCTGTGGACCTCCTAGGTCCCGGCATGCCTGAAGCCTGCCCTCTTAATTCAGAGATCTGAGCCCATTGGTTCCATTTTATGTTTGTGTTGGAGTCAATACCAGTCCCAGCAGAAGATGTCTTATGCCAAAAGAAAACAAATTCATCCACTTAATCAATCAGCTAGGATTTATTGAATATTTAGTCCATGTGGGGGGGTGGGAGGGTGACAGGTCAGTAAATGACCACCAAGAACATACCTCCCTCCCATAGCAAACCCAATCTGCCAGAGCACAAACACACAATTGCAACCTATTCACAAATTCAGGGAGTTTGGAGAGAGCAGGATGTGTGTGTGTGTGTGTGTGTGTGTGTGTGTGTGTGTGTGTGTGTGTGTGTCTGGGGCTTGAACTCAGAGCCTTGGGCACTATCCTCCTAGCTTTCTTGCTCCAGGCTGGTGCTTTACCACTTGAGCCACACCTCTACTTCTGGTTTTTTGGGGCTGGTTCCTTGGAGATGAGTCTCCACGGACTTTCTTTCCCCAGGCTGGCTTCAAATCTCAATCCTCAGATCTCAGCCTCTAGGATGATAGCCGTGAGCCAATGACATCCAGCTATGGAATGTGATGTCTTATTGTCACTGTCATGTCCAAAGCAACATGAAAAGACTCTGGGCTCAGGGTCCAGCACACAAATCCAGGCATGGCGGCGGGGGGGGGGGGGGGGGGGGGGGGGGAGACGGGCATGCTGAAAGCCCAGGAGGGCTCAGAAACTTAGAAAGATGTCTCTGGGGACAGAAAGCAGGCAGGTGGGCATGGGAGAGGGGAGGCAGTGGAGGCAAGAGGCACAAGATGGAGGCCGGATGTGTCCTTGGCATCCCTTCTGGGTGCTCAGAGGGTAGTGTAGAAGTACATGGCTATCAGCATCACAGGGAGCTAGGTAAAGAGACAATGAGATAGGAGGGCGCCCTGCACATCCCTCCCCCCCACCAGCCTCTTCTTCCACCTCTTCTCCCCCCACTCCCCACCTAGCCTCTGGCTTCTCACCGTCCACATCAGGATGGCGAATCCAAACCATGAGATGCCCCACGTGTAGCTGTCAATGGCATGGCCAATGTGCTCGAAGCAGCCCTGGCGGGGATGGCAATACTTTAGGAAGAAACTGGCAGCTGGGGGCAGGCCCTGTGGCCCTGACTCCCCTGGCCCAGTAGGAAAAGGATGGAGATGCTGCGTTCCAGGCTCTGACAATTTGCTTAGGCCACAGGCTCCCCCCTCCACTTTCATCCAGCCAAGAACTGGCAGGCTAGCTCCGAGCCTGTTTCCCCATTTCCTGAGAAATGGCCACCCTGTTTTCACTCTGGAGACAGTGACTGGGCTTCTCCTCTCCAGGACACCTGCCATAGGGGCCCCCACACCCAAGCAGCTGGATACACATCTGTGCCAGTTTGCCTCTTCATCTGTCCTCCAGTTTCTCAGCCCTGGTCTGCACTAGTTAAAATACCCACTCTCCGTGGCCACATGACTGAAATCAAGTTCTGGCTCCCTTCCTCTCTCAGACTCTGTGTGTGTGTGTGTGTGTGTGTGTGTTTATCAGTCCTGGGGTTTGAACTCAGGGCCTAGATGCAGTTCCTGAGCTTGTTTTGCTCTAGGGTAGCACTCTACCACTTGAGCAATAGCTTCACTTCAGGCTTTTTTGCTGGTTCATTGCATATAAGAATCTCCTGGCCAGCGCTGGTGGCTCATGTCTGTCATCCTAACTACTCAAGAGGCTGAGATCTGAGGATCATGGTTCAAAGCCAGCCTGGGCAAGAAAAGTCTGTGAGATTCTTTTTTTTTTGGGGGGGGGTCCGGTCGTGGGGCCTGAACTCTGGGCTTGGGCGCTGTCCCTCAGCTCTTCAGCTCAAGGCTAGCGCTCTACCACTTGAGCCACAGCGCCACTTCCGGCTTTTTTGTTTTTGCTTATGTGGTGCTGAGGAATCGAACCCAGGGCCTCAGGCATGCAAGGCAAGCGCTGTACCACTGAGCCACCTTTCTAGCCCCAAGTCTGTGAGATTCTTATCTCCAATTAACTACCAGGAAACTGGAAGTGGTGCTATGGTTCAAGTGGTAGAGCACTTGCCAAGGCCCAGAGTTCAAGCCCCACAACCGACAAAAAAAAAAAAAAAAGAATCTCATGGACTTTTCTGCCCAGGCTTCCTTTGAACTTCAGTCCTCAGATCTCAGCTTCCTGAGCAGCTAGGGTGGCAGGTGTGAACCATCTTTGACTGGCAGTTGTTGTTGTTTTGTTTTTGTTTTTTTGGGTCAGTTGTGAACTCTGGGTCTGGGCTCTTCAGCTCAAGGCGAGTGCTCTACCACTTGAGCCACAGTACCACTTCCGGCCTTTTCTGTTCACAAGGTGCTGAAGAATCGAACCTAGGGCCTCAGGCATGCAAGGCAAACACTCTACCATGGAGCCACCTTCCCAGCCCAGTCCTCCCCACCCCTCCCCGCTCTGGTTCTGGGGCTTGAAATCTGGGCCTGGGCACTGTCCCTCAGCTCTTCAGCTTAAGGCTAGCACTCTACCACTTGAGCCACAGCGTTATTTCTGGCTTTCTGGTAGATAACTGGAGATAGGAGTCTGGCTTTGACTCGGGATCCTCAGATCTCAGCCTCCTGAGTAGCTAGGATTACAGGTGTGAGCCCCTGGTACCCAGCACTCATTCTCCTCTCTGTCCCTGAAGGCAGTACTGGAGAGATAGTAAAACAAAAATGGAAAGTGTTTGGTAGGATGCCTGGCACAGAGGCCGGCACAGCCATGGTGGCTGGGTGGTGTGCCATTTTATATTCTGGTATTCAATTGCTGCTCTGCTTTGTGGATGATCTGGGTCAGACAAAACCTGGGTGCTTCCTGCAGAGACAGTGGGGGTGGAGAGCAAGCCAGGTAGGGGAGAAGAAAAAGAGGAGAGCCAATAAACCCTCTTACTGAGGGAGGAGACACACCTTGGTAAACAGGTAATCCACGTGGCCCACGCGGCAGCCCTCTTCGTTGAGGGGGATGAAATTTCCGGTCCGGCGGCAGCACAGTGGGGGCCAGGGGAACAGCACTTCCGGAGTGGCAGCCCGGAACGTGGACGTGTAATTCACCCAGTCCATGGGACCAGACGTGCCACAGCATTCTTGCTGAGGAGAAAAGGGGCTCAGAGAGGGCTTGGCACCTGCCTCCAGTCACCCAGTCAGGAGAGGCAGGGCTGGGCTGGGGCACAACTGGCCCCAGCTTGTGCCAGGCCTGGCATCAAAGTGTGTGTGTGTGTGTGTGTGTGTGTGTGTGTGTGTGTGTGTGTTGCTGGTCCTGGATCTTTTTTGTTGTCGGTCCCTCAGCTCTTCAGCTCAAGGCGAGCGCTCTCCCACTGGAGCCACAGCGCCACTTCCGGTTTCCTGGTGGTTTATTGTAGATAAGAGGCTCATGCACTTTTCCTGCCAGGCTGGCTTTGAACCGCGAACCTCAGATCTCAGCCTCCTGAGTAGCTAGGATGACCTGCATGAGCCATGGCGCCAGGCTTATGATCATCCTTAATAGGGAGGAAGTGTGGGCTCCCTCCGGCTCTGATATGTATCAGCGGTACCATCCTGGTGACCTAAGCTTCCTTGTTCTCTTCCTTCCTTCCCGCCCTTCCTTTTGTGTGCGTGTGACTTTTCTTTCCGAGCCCGTTTACTCCTGAGGAAATAATCAGGCCCAAAGACGCCGTCCCGCATCCCCCGCGCAGAGAGCTCCCAAGACAGCAAGCCTTCAAAGCAGCGGCTCAAAGCAGGAGGGCGGGGCCCAGCCTCGGCCACGCCCACACCACGGAGGTCACTCCCGTGCTGTAAAAGCCACGCCCACACAGCGCCTTCTCGTGTCCATAACCCCGCCCATACAGCGAGGCCACGCCCACCTCGGTCATGATGCGTTCCCACAGGCGGGTCAGCTCCCGGCCCTGGTCCGTGTCCGCGCTGTAGAAGGTCAGCATCTGCTTGGTGATCAGGGACGGGTTCGACACCATCTGTGGAGGGCCGGAGAGGGTGGGATCCAGCAGGGCTGGGTGGGGAGTAGGGTGCCCCCCTCTTCCCGCCCTCTCACAGGGACCGGCCCCCAGGCTCACATAGTCACGGTGGGTATAGGAGGTGATGCAGGAGGCACACTCAAAGATGTAGACGATCAGCATCAGCACCAGATACTGCAGGGCGGGGAGGGGGTGTCTTCAGTAAGGGGGGGGCTATAAGGTTGCTCCCCCTCGAGGAGGAGATGCAAAGTGGGGTGCTGGGTATGGTTTATTGGTAGAGCATTAGCTAGAATGCATGGGGCCCTGGGCTTCATCCCCAACCTGGAGAAAAGGGAAGGAGGGAGGGGGAAGGAGAGAGGGGGAGGGTTGGTGTGGACAAGGTACAAACCTAGCTTTTCTGTATATTTGAAATGATTTCTAATAAACTGTTAGGGGAAAGTAAAATCAACAAAAAATATGGAAGGCAGTCTCTGAAATTAACTATTGGCTGGGGATGATGCAATAAATGTCTACTATTAAAAGAAATAAAAGGGCTGGGAAGGTGGCTCAGCGGTAGAGTGCTTGCCTTGCAAGCATGAGGCCCTGAGTTTGATTCCTCAGCACCACATAAACAGAAAAAGCCGGAAGTAGTACTGTGGCTCAAATAGTAGAGCACCAGCCTTGAGCTGAAGAGCTGAGGGACAGTGCTTAGGCCTAGAGTTCATCTATGACCAACCAAAAAAGAAGAAAAGAAAAAGAAAGAAAAAAAGATAAAAGCCAGGTGTTGGTGGCTTACACCTATAATCTTAGCTACTCAGGATGCTGAGACCTGAGGATTGAAGTTTGAAGCCAGCCGGGGCAGGAAAGTCTGTGAGACTCTCACCCCCAACTAACCAGCCCAGTGGAGTTGTGGCTTAAGTCGCATATCACCAGCTTTGAACAAGGAAGCTCAGGGAAAGCGCTCAGGCCTGGAGTTCAAACCCAGGACCATAGCGGGCTCTTGTCACTTCTACACTGGACCTCACCGTGAGAATCATGGACCGGCGTCGGCAAAGTGCAGCCCCTACACCAAAGCTGGCCACCACGAAGAAGGAGAAGCCACAGAAGATGGCAATCCAGGCACCCGCGAAGACATCATCCTTGCCAGAGACGCCCATCAGGGGGTACACGCGGTACTGGTCAGCTGTCACCCAGACTGTCTCAGCAAACAGGGCCAGGCCTGACAGCTGGACAGGGCAGCTGGTTAGGAGAGTGTGCTCAAGGCCAGCAGCCTGGCTCTGTGAATCTCCATAGTGAATTGCTTCCCCTTCCTGTCCCCCCACCACCCCCCTTGGCTAGGTTTTGGGGATGAAAGCTGCTGTTTGCCCAATCTGCAGCCATAGACATAAAGATGACAAACACTTGGAGCCTTCCACCCAGCCATTCCACCTGTCAATCAGTCCTACATATGCCCACCGGTACAAGAACATTGCATTGACCCCTTCCCTGCCATGTAGCACAGTGATGGGGTCCAGGATGCCCTAAGGCTCTTCAGTTGTCAGAAGGGTTACATTTGGGACAAGAAAGGAAAGAAAGTTTCTAGCAGGTGCTAGGCTTTGGTACCTCACCCTTTGTAATCTTAGCTACTCAGGACATTGAGATCTGAGGATCTTGGTTCAAAGCCGGCCTGGGTAGAAAAATCCATGAGACTATTATTTTCAATGAAGCAGCAAAAAGCTGGAAGTGGAGTTGTAGTTCAAGAGGTAGAGTGCCAGCCTTGAGAAAAAGAAAGAAAGAGGGCTGGGAAGGTGGCTCAGTGGTAGAGCGCTTGCCTTGCATGCATGAGGCCCTGGGTTCGATTCCTCAGCACCACATAAGCAAAAAGAAAAAAGCCGGAAGTGGTGCTGTGGCTCAAGTGGTGGAGCGCTAGCCTTGAGCTGAAGAGCTGAGGGACAGCGCCCAGGCCCAGAGTTCAGGCCCCATGACCGGACCCAAAAAAAGAAAAAAAAAAGAAAGAAAGAAAAAGAAAAGAAAGGGTGGAGGGAGGGAGGGAGGGAGGAAGGAAAGGAGGGAAGGAAGAAGGGAAGGAAGGAAGGAAAGAAAAAAATTGAAGAAACTGAAATTTTGATTACCTACAGGATGGAGTATGGGGAAGGAGGGGCAGGGGATTCTCCTCTGTGGACATCTTACTATAAAGCTAACATATATTCCTGTTAAATCTGGCTCACAGATAGGAAAACTGAGACCCACCTCCAGATCCTGTAACTACAAAGTGCTAGTAGAGCTGGGATTTGAATCCAGGCTGCCTGGCTCCAGAGCCTTGGACAAGCATCACTGTTTTTATTTAAAGCCAACATGAAGTAAAAGACATTATTATAAACCAGGCCTGGGTAGTGCATACCTGTAATCTCAGCACTTGGGAGGCTGGATCATGAGTTCCAGCCCCCCCTTCCCCCCCCCCTGCCCCCCACCCCTCCACTGGACTACATAGTGAGACCTTGTCTCAAGGAAAACCTAAAACATCAGATGATTCAATTTTCGGGATTCCTTGGCACCTGTGTTTTATGGCAAGATACGGCTTTTTCCTTTTCCTTTTTTGTGGTTGTTGGTCATGGGGCTTGAACTCTGGGCCTGGGCACTGTCCCTTAGCTCTTCAGATTAAGGCGAGCGCTCTACCATTTTAGCCACAGCGCTACTTCCGGTTTTCTGGTGGTTTATTGGAGATAGGAGTCTCACGGTCTCTCCTGCCCGGGCTGGCTTTGAACTGCGATCCTCAGATCTCAGTCTCCTGAGTAGCTAGGATTACAGGCATGAGCCACCAGCACCCGGCTCTTTTCCTTTTCTTTTTGGTGCCAGTACTGGGGTTCTACCTTCACCTTTTTTTTTTTTTTGCCCAAAGCTGGTGTTTTACCACTTAAGACACACCTCCACTTCCTTTGTTTAAAATTTTGCTGGTTCATTGGAGATGAGTCTCACTGACTTTCCTGCCTGGATGGCAGATCTTCAGATCTCAGCCTCCTGAGTTGCAAAGATTACGGGCATGAGTACCAGTAACCTGGCTTGGTCACCACTGCTGAGTTGAGGGAAATATGAGTTCCTCTCTCCAGCCACTGACATGAAGAGGATGTAACCTAGATAGGAGAGGCCCAGTTACCCCCTGCAAGTCTCACAGCTGGGAGATCTGAGCTGGGATTCGAAGCAGGCTGCTCTGCCTTGGGAACTGGGCAGCCCAGGCCTGCTGACAAGTGAGAAGCCCTCCACCCTCAGCCCACTGTACACCCAGCACAGGCTGCATCTTACCAGGATAATGATGTTCCCCACAACCAGCAGCCCCACCACCACGGGGGACCCCTTCTCCTCCTCCGCTGCTGTGGAAGCCATCGTCCTGTGTGTACCAACAGAAACAGGGGTGACACCCATCTGAACTCCCCCATCCCCATCCCCCAATTCCAGCTGCCCTGCTTTTCTTTCAACCCTGGTGAAACCTGGCCACAACCCAGGGCTGCCTGTCTGTGCCTCCATCCTTCCCGAAGGCCCTACCCTGTGCAGGCCCCCAGAACCCCCTCCTCACCTCTTCCAGAATCTTCTCTGGCCAGATCCACTCACAGCAGCTCCCTATATAGGCCCAGCCCTCCCCAGGAGGGGGACAGAGGAGGGGACAAGATGCCCAGAGGCAGCTCTGCCACTCCAGTGATTTATAGACCTGAAATTCCAGATTGGGCTAACTTCTGGTCACCTGGGCAGGGCTATTACAAGCATGGCCTCTGACACCCCCTTCCCAGGTTGTGGAGAATGGGAGGAGGGTGAGGCTGGAGGTGAGGACCCCATCTCATAGCACTCTTCCTAGAACAAGGCTGGGGACCTTAGGCAGTGGCCAAGAGCCCCAGGGAGGCCCAGGCTGCCCCCCACCCTCTCCCCCCTACCCCCCCCTCCCACAGATAAAAACAGGGCTGCAAGCCATGGCACCTGTGGTTCATGCCTGTCATCCTAACTAATTCAGGAGGCTGAGATCTGAGGATCGCAATTTGAAATCAGCCTGAGCAGGAAAGTCTGTGAGACTCTTACCTCCAATGATCTAGCAAAAAGCCAGAAGTGGAGCTGTGGGCTCAAATGATAGAGCACCAGCCTTGAGCACAAAGAAGTTCAGGGACAGCACCCAGACCCTGAGTTCAAGCCCCAGGACTGGCACAAAAAAAAAAAGTCTGGGCAGTGGGGAGGAAATGAGGGGAGAAGTGGAAGGCAGGCTGAGGGGTGCATGCAATAGGGTTGGTGGGCAGGTAAGGATGGACATGGATGCACATGGCAGTTTGACAAGTGTACAATGAAATAGAATGTTCTAAAAATAAAAGGACGGGAACAATATATTGAAAGGACTTAAGTGGGAGAAAAATAGCTTCCTTCTCTACACACACACACACACACACACACACACACACACACACACACACACACACGGGTGTGCACATAAGGACTAAGTCTTGAGTGGAGATTTCTCCAGGCTGCAGATTGACAAAGGTTCTGGGTTCAAATCTCAGTCTGGCCTCCTCTTTGCAGCATGCCTTGGTATGCCTATCTGTGACACAAGTAACCACATCCAGGACCCTGGGCCCAGGGGGACCTGTGCCAGGGAAGGGGCCAGCCAGGCTGCTGTTTAGCCTTGCTCTGGGGAGCCCCATGTCCTTCTACAGCGCCCCCTATGGTGTGGGCCTAATTCTGCAGGAGGAAACAGGTTGGGAGTCCCAGAGGGGCTCCAGGAAGTCTCAACCCCAAAGCTTGTACTGCACTTTCTCCCCCACAGGTGGTTCTGGGCAAGTGAAGAGAACTTGAAACCCCAAGCTTGGGGAGAAGACTCATGTTTGTTTCCTAATTTAAATGGTCATGGCTGTAATCCTAACTACCCAGGAGGCTGAGATCTGAGGATCGGGGTTTGAAGTCATCTGCAGGCAGGAAAGTTCATGAGATACTTATCTCCAATGAGCCAGCAAAAAGCTGGAAGTGGAGGTGTGGCTCAAGTGGTAGAGCACCAGCTGAGTAGCAAAAGCTAAGCAAGACCTTGAGGCCCTGAGTCCAAGCCCCTGTACTGTACTGGTGTGCACAGGCACATATACAAGGTCCACATGGCTTGCATATGCTAAATAGTGGGGAGGCATTGTATGATTCTCAAAGATTCCAGAATTCAGGGTTGTTGTGATGCCTGGAAGAGATGGGGGAACCTCTTTCAGGTTGCCTGGCTCTATCTCATTGTTAAGTGGGCTTTTCTGTGTGTCTTCAGGAGTTTTAAACTCCAGTACCTTGTAACGAGGGTAAAGCATTTCAAATAAAGCCACTCATGTGTTTGAGTGGTGTTTGCTTTCCCACGGGCAGGGGAGCACCTGTCTAGCACTAGCACGCATGTATGAGGCTCAGCCCCAGCATCTGCACAAACAGGAAAGTGTTGTTTGCCAAGTTCTGATAGAGCCTGGCTGAAGATTTCACAGAGAAAGCCCAACTGGACACTCTGGTGTCTCTAGTCGTCTCTAAGGTGGCTTAGGGTGGCCCCCAGCATTAACATACATTGTATTTAAGACGAAATGCTGGATTTTGTCTTGTCATTGGCTGGTGTTTGAACTCGGGGTTTTCACACTTGTCAGCTAAGTGCTCTGACACCTGAGCCACATCCCCAGCCCTTTTTGCTTTATTCTTCATTCTCACTTTGTGTGTGTGTATGTAGCCAGTATTGGGGCTTGAATTCAACACTTCATGATGTTGCTTAGCTGGTGATATACCACTTCAGCCATATTTCCTTTTTTTTTTTTTTTTCTGCTAGTTAATTGGAGGTAAGTGGTCTCATGGACTTTTCTGCCCAGGCTGGTTTTGAGCTGTGATTCTCAGATCTCAACCTCAGACCAGCACCTGGCTGAGTCTCATCTTGTTTTGCCTGGTTAGGCCTCCATCCCTCCTTTCTTTTTTTTTTTTTTTTGTCGGTCATGGGGCTTGAACTCTGGGCCTGGGCGCTGTCCCTCAGCTCTTCAGCTCAAGGCGAGCGCTCTACCACTTGAGCTACAGCACCACTTCCGGTTTTCTAGTGTTTTATTGGAGATAGGAGTCTCACGGTCTTTCCTGCCCGGGCTGGCTTTGAACCGAGATTCTGAGATCTCAGCCTCTTGAGTAGCTAGGATTACAGGCGTGAGCCACCAGCGCCTGGCTCCATCCCTCCTTTCTATGTGTCCTGGTAGCTGGATCACAGCCACATGCCACCATACCCAGCTTGCTAGTTGAGATGGTGTCTTATCTAGGCTAGCCTTGAACTACAATCCTTCTGATCCTTTCCATTTCCAATGGATTTTTTTTTTTGTCCAGGCCTGGGGCTTCAACTCAGGGTCTGGGCACTGTCTAGCACTCTACCACTTGAGCCACAACACTTCACTTCTGGCTTTTTCTGTGTATGTGGTACTGAGGAATGGAACCCAGGGCTTCATGCATGCTAGGCAAGCACTCTACCACTAAGCCACCTTTCCAGCCCTCTAATGGAAATTTAAAGCTATGGGGCTGGGAAGGTGGCTCAGTGGTAGAGTGCTTGCCTTGCATGCATGAGGCCCTGGGCTCAATTCCTCAGCACCACATAAGCAAAAAGAAAAAAAAGCCAGAAGTGGCGCTGTGGCTCAAGTGGTAGAGCGCTAGCCTTGAGCTGGAGAGCTGAGGGACAGTGCCCAGGCCCAGAGTTCAGGCCCCACGACTGGACCCCCCCAAAAAATAAAAAAAACTACATTTTATATTTTACTTATAAAACTCCTTTCCTGATGGGCGCTGGTGGCTAATGCCTGTACTCCTCGCTACTCAGGAGGCTGAGCACTGAGGATCATGGTTCAAAGCCAGCCTGGGCAGTAGTCCGTGAGACTCATTTCCAACTAACCACCAGAAAACCGGAGTGGCACCGTGGCTCAAGTGGGAGAGTATTTGCCTTGAGCTGGAAAGGCTCCGGGACAGCGCCCAGGCCCAGAGTCAAGCCCCATGACCGACAAATAAATCTCCTTCCCTATCTTCCTTTATTGGGTGTCAGATGACACAGGCTGAATGACTCCTTCCTCTCTGGCACAACACGTCCCATGGTCCTCCAGCACCCCCTGCTGGCTGCCAACACTGAAGGTCTAGAACAATGTTCTAAAGCAACTAGGTCTCAGAATATTCTTCAAGATGGATCTTAGGTTAGTGTGTGAAGTAACTCCCATTAAATTGAAATAGCTGAAATGGGAAAAAAAAAAATAGCATTGTTCTTTGATAACAATGGAATGAAACTATCCATTAATGTCGTAATAAGAAGTTTGGAAACTGGGTGCTGGTGTGTGTCATCCTAGCTACTCAGAAGGCTGAGAACTGAGGACTGGATTTGAAGCAAAGCCAGGGCAGGAAAGCCTGAGAGACTCTTATCTCCAATGAACCAGCAGAATGCCGTTAGTGGGACTGTGGCTTAAGTGGAAGAGAGGCAGTCTCTTAGCAAAACAACCTAAGGGACAGCATCCAGCAGCATCCTGAGTCCAGGCCCCAACAGTGGCAAACAATCGTACATAAGTAAACAACCAGACATAAGTAAAGTTAAAAGTTGGTCCAGATACTGAGGGCAAGTGGACAGATCAGTTTTAGCCCCTCAGAGATTTGAGGCACTGACTATGCCCACTGCCTGTCTAGCAGGAGGTGGCCAGAACTCAACAGGGTGGAAAGAAAAGGACTGGCAAACAGAGAGGATGACCATCCGAGCCCATTTACCACCCAGTACCAACCCGCCCTGCTTCTCATCCCCCATCCGGCTTCATTCACAGCCAGCACTTTCCTGTGATGGTTTATTAGTTAAGTAATGGTACACAGTCCCAGGGCGGGGACTATCATGTCCCCAGGTTCCCCTCATATCCCGGGAAGACCAGAGGATAAGGAGAGACAGCTGGATCGGGTTCAGATCTTCCCAGGAAACGTGCCTTCTGCCCGGCGATCGTCCCACGCTGAGACCTGTGGGAAGATAGAGGCGTCACTTCCTGCTCTGCAGGGAGAGTGCTGTGGGCTTTCCTTCTCAAGGTGCCTCCTCTGGTGCACTGGGTCAACCAGAAACCACAGGTGCCTGCTCTGTGCCAACCATTGTGATGGGAGCCAGGGAACAACACTGACACTCTCTCCAAAAAAAGCCCCCAAACCATCTGGTCCTAAGTGAGCTAAGTTACCAGGTAAGAAATGGGAAGAGAAATGCTAGGCTCAGCTTTGAGAGTGTGGTTCAGCCAAATCATCACACTATTTGTCAAGACAGAGGAGAGGTGGAATAATAGACAACCATGAACAAGCTCTGTTTTGATCTGTTCAGAACAGTTCATGTTGTGCTGGTACTGGGGTTTGAATTCAGGGCCTTCGCACTGCCCCT